GCCTGGCGGCCGGCGCCGCGCCTTTCCCAAGTCGGTCCTATGGCTTGTTTATGTCCCTTTCACGGCAGAGAAGCCCCCTGGGTGGCTGCTCAGTCTGCTCAGACAGCGGGGAGGGCCTGAGGCGCCCGTCTCCCGCCGCTGCGTCCGCCCGCACAGGCAGGCGCCGCCCACTCCGTCCCGTCTGCGCAGGCGGGGACGGAACCCCGGAGAGTCTCTGCCCAGCAGAATTATTACTTTTATACATGGAGCATTATGAACGTGTTTCCCGTCGTTTTATACTTTCGCACGATTGTGCTTTCATTGAGTATAAAAATAGGTCTCCTTTAAAATTCTGTTAAGTTCACTAAAAAACTACTTGTTTGTGAAATTCTCTTATAAACCCACTGCATCCACACGGAATCGGTAAAACGAAGCAGGCGGCTCAGGACAGAGGCAGCGTCCAGGGAGGAGCTCGGCTGCGTGGGCAAGGTGGGCCGGGCAGGTGCAGAGAACAGCCAGGAGCGGGCGGGGCTTCACGCGCAGCAGCCTCGGCCTCCCCGGCACTGACAGCGTGGACGCCACAGAGGCGGGAATGCTGAGGCTCAGCCAGGGTCGGGCCTGCCGGGCCGGCAAAGAAGGCAGATGGTGGAGAAATGCAAGAAGCGAACAGCGAGGAGACACGACGGGCACCCCAGCCGGAGACGGTCACTTTGGGAACTGGGGGTCCCTGCTAGGGCACAGTAAGGCTCTGGCCAGGTCTCCCCGGGCCTAGGCTATCCAGAGGGGGTCTGAAAGTGACATTCCTCGTGGTGGTTGTATAAAACTTGACCCTTGGAGTAACTGAGAAATATCCTGAAAAAATCTTCCCTGAAACTGCAGTAAAGAAAGTTTCTTACTACTGATAAAGTCGACAGCTCAGTAAACTATTTTTGCTGGTCACCCAAGTAAGAAAACAGCACAAATATAGTTGCCTCAGAAATCTGTTAAGAGCAGGGACCCACGCAGGAAGAGTACAAAGATTCTATAAAGGGGAGAGCTCACGAAACCCTCTCCCCGAAAGTGTCCACAAGGAGACGTAGACCTGGTAGAAGAAAAGTAGGAACACACGTTACGGATCACATCAGGATAAAAAAGCCGAGACTGGAAGAATACATTTCTGTCGCGTGACTACTTTAGGATGGATCGCCCTCTGCTTTACTTCTCAATCCTCGGGCAAAGGTCATTCAAATTCCCAAGCAAAGAAACAAGGTGAAGTTCTTCTCGCAGCCTGCAGAGGAGGTTCCAAGGCCCAGGGAAGAGGAAACTAGTCCCACAGGTCGACAATTTCCCCTTCCGGAGGGGGCGAGGAATCTCCCGCCGCTGACCGCATGCATATTTAAAGCCTCCATTACCATGAGAAAGGAGCTGCGGCCCCGGGCTGGAAGGATCTTTTTCTAGCTAAAGAGAATCTACCAATGACTGGCCGGCTCGGTCCTCCCTGGCCCCAGACGCTGGCCCCGCACCCCGCGGCCTGCCTGATCAGGGCTATTTTCTTGAGTTGCAAGAGCTGGGAAGAGCAAGCTGGTTCCGGGTCCCCAGGGGCCGCTCCCGAGTGGTCCTGGTCAGGGCGGCCTGGTGGGGTCGCCGCTCAGCGCCCCGCCCCCACCCCGCGGAGCCATTTCAAGGTTTCTGTCCATGCTTGGTTAAAATAAGACTTGCTAAAGAGACCAAAAACTGCAATTAAACTTTATTGAAGACTGCCCACTGGCGAGAATGGCGTGTTTTACTGTTGAGACATTCAATAGACTTCGGTAAGGGTCGTCACAACACACTCACTGGACAGCCTTCGAGGGCGAAAGCGCGGTCCTGAGTTCTAACCGGTCCCAGCGCGGCCGCTGACCATCTGCTCTTATCTCGCTATCCAGGACGCAGGCTACAAAGCTGGTCTCCCCTCCCGCACCATCACTCGCTTCCATGGGCGGCCAACGCATCATGTTACTGAGGACCGTCCAGCTCCTACCTCGCCACAGCGACGCCAGGATTGCTCTGACTCGGGCACAGGCCACACGCAGATGCCCCAGCCTGTCCAGGTACAGACTCAGCCTGCGGAAACGGGGTCCCCTACCAGCTCTGGGCCCGCGGCTGGGCAGCCACGGCTGGGAGCCCCCTGCAGGCCCCTGGTTCGGCCCCTGAGGCTCCGGC